TTTTAACTTTAAAAGTGACTTTGAAAGCTGTCACTTTCAAAAATTTGTATTCAGCAAGCAAAATAACGCGGGCGCTCGACTTTCAATGAGGGTTGCCATCATATCCGGCCATCAAAATCGAGGCAACCCTATATTTTATATGAGAAGACATATTAAAGAATATATCTACCAATTTTCAGCTATTGCAACAATTATGTGAAAATTATCGATTGCAACGATCACATACCCGTTAATATTGCCGGCTCTCCTACATTCTTTTTTGTAAGAGATGAAGTCCTTGGAGGAAAATTGAAAGAGCAACTTGCAGATGTGAAGACCAAACCTTGGGTGGATGAACATCTTTAAAGGATCAATATTACTTCCTTGAGACGTGAATAAAACAGATTTTGGGACACGGGGTGGTCTAAATAAACCATCGAGTGAACTGAGCATAGCTATTCGGATTATATTGTCAACCCTACATGGGACCACGGACTACAACCTAATTCAATACACTGAACCACGGGTTAAAACAAATAACTGCAACTAAGCAAGAAAACACAACCAGATACCTACCTAAAAGTAATTTCGTCAATAATAATTTAAACAAAAACTCTTAAATTCAAAATCAACATGATTAGTGAGCAAAATCAATCAATTTGGATTTTATGAATCAACAAAATTACTTCTTGAGGTCCAAATCAACGACCGAGCAAACCCCAGACGCCGAAAGCGCATCCACATTACATACTGACGAAATATTTCAGATTGAAACTAAACTCAGGAGGACACCCTCACATGTAAATATCTCGGCAATTAAACAAGCAGAAGATAAAAACTCCGGGTGTCCATTAGAAGACCAAGAGAAAAGGAAGAAACAAATAGAAAGCACCGGGAAAACAGAGGAAAAAGACACACCAGACGAAGAAACATCAGAGGAAGAAAAATCAGATCAAGACATCCAAACAGTCATGGCAAACATTACCATTCAAGATGCAATGGCAGCAGGATAAAAAGGCATCGGTACCCCAATTCATAAACCCGTCAGCTTTCCGCCCTTGCAGAAGAAGTGCCGCTAAGGAGTTACGAGAGAACGGCAATAGCGAAAGGATGGAATGATGCATTGAAGATAACGTACATAGAAACATCCCTGAATGGCGCTGCCAATATATGGTTCCAAAAGTATAAACGAGACAATTCAAACAACGAATGGGAAGACATTGTAAGGGATTTCTCAAAAGAATTTGATGACGTCAACTGCTTGATAACCCTAAAAAGGAGATTAGAGAAGCGCAAACAGAACCCAAAAAAGACAGTCAGGGACTACCTGGTACGAATTGAGGGTGCTGTAGACAGACTACAGGAATAAGATAGATATAGAAGAATTTGTTACCATTTTCAGCGAAAGGTTGACTGAAGAAAACTTTCATCACTATTTCTGGCTCACGAACCCGCCAAATGGTCCACCAGACGCACTAGAAAAAGTGAAAGAAATTGCTGGGACCATAAATAAAGCATCAAAAAGAGAAGTATAGGAGAAATAGAAAAAGAGGACTTCCAGAGACAGAGGTATGAACCTCCAAGAGCAGGCAGTCAGGGACTCCAAAATAACAGAAATCAGGTGGTTTGTTATTATTGTGGCAAAAAAGGGCACATGGCGGCCATATGCAGAAGCAGACCACAGCCGAATAAATCAACGCAATATAGAAACAGCAGAAAATGTGATAACTGTGGTAAAATAGGATACGTTGCGGCGATGTGCCGAAGCCAACCACAGAGAAATCGAGCCTATAGTCCCCGAAATTAGGGCAATAATTCGGTATGTTACAATTGTGGAAAACAGGGACACTTTGCAGCCACCTGTAGGAGCCAAAAGCAGAACCCAAACGGAAAAAGGATGACAAAAATAGATACCCCAGCCATTCTAGCCCTATAGGGGATACATCTAGAATAGGAATCTTATTCATCACAGTTACAATAAATAACAGGACTCTGTGTGCTATAGTCGACACAGGAGCCCAAAATAACGTCATACCAGCACAACTGGTAACAGGAAAAATACAGACCAGACAATAACACGATATTAGTCACCGCAGGGGGACATCGAATACCAGTGTTGGGAAAAATGACAACACCAATGGAAATTGCAGGAAACTTAAAGTGGAAAGGTATACCTACTAAATGCAAAAGTCATCTCAGTGTCGGGGCAACCGATGATCCTGGGAATGGAATTTTTGACAGAGAATAGAGCCATCCTGGACCTGCCAAGAAAACTACTTATATTGAATAATAAATATAGAATACGACTATATCAGGACTATAAGCAGAAGATTAGCTTGTCATTACCGCTAAAAATTCGAGAACGGGTCCTAGCTGCTCTCAAAAAGATGAAGAAGAATTCAACAAGTTTATCACACCACATATACACATAAGGAAGGCAAATACAAGCAGATTCTTTAGGAAATAACATCATGACATAAATCACCTACCAAATAACGCGGTTTTGGAATTCGGAGTTACCCAGAACTACATAACAAAGAGGTGCATATACAGAAAATACAGGCGCAGCCTCTCGAAGAAAAGGGAACCAAGAACCATTGGACAATTAAAAGAGATAAACTACGATGAAAAAAAAACCTACCCCAAGAAACATGTACAGATGCCCGATAGCACTGAAAAATACTAGCAAATCTAGGTCCCACAAAACATTGGTCATGGAGAACATTTGAACAAATGCTGTAACATATTTTCAAAGACTCAGGAATCGAAATCCGCATACAAAAACAGGCCGCAAAACAAAAAAAAAAAAACAAAGAAAAATGCTTAAAATAGGACTCAAGAGAGATTATACCATAACCGAGAATCAAATAGAAACAATTGAATTAGAAATCATGGGCAAAATTAATGACATAAATGAAATAATAAGCTACCAATGCAAATACAAATTAGACTGGCTCGCAAAAAAGCACCTAGTACTATAAACACATATCTACACACATAGATAAGGACTCCCTCGTCCTGAAATTACAGTCAAAAACAAGGAATCCAGCAGCCATATACGCAGGAACCACCATAGCATTTTTTGAGGAGTTGGAAAACGAAAGCCCATTGTACCACCTAAGAAACGCAAGAATAAATATTAGATGAAACCGAGGAAATAACAGTAGAAGACCACCAACTAGAGAACAGGCATTTCAGGATCTCCTGCTAGAATACAACGACGTTTCTGCCAAATCAACTTAACACATGGGAAGAACAAACCTAACCGCACATAAGATAGAAGTAGGAGAAGCGCAACCAATAAAAAGTTGTCCATACAGAGTGTCTTAGAAAGAAAGACAAATAATCGATGAACAAATCAAGGAAATGCTGGATAACCAAGTAATCAGACTTTGTCATGAAAAAGACATCATCCATTTTTATCCAAGAGACCAAAGGCCAGATTTTTGAAGATAACAAAAAACAAAGTCAAAAGTCAAATTGACTTTGTTTTTTGTTATCTTCAAAAATGGTACATATGAATCAAATTTCTCAGTTTTGTTCTATGCAATGCTCCAGCCACCTTTCAGGAACTGGCAGACCAAGTATTTTGGGACATGAAATGGAAGGAAGTACTTATATACCTGGACAACATTATAATGTTTTCAAAAACACTAGAGGAACACATAGCCAAACTAAGAAAGGTCTTAGAACGATGACGACAAGCAAACCTAACACTCAAACGAAGCAAATGCGAGTACCTAAGAAAGGAAATAAAAAAAATTGTATTCAAGGTCAGTGAAAAAGGAGTCCTGCCAGATGAAGAAAAGGTTATATGCATAAAAAACTTCCCAACTCCCAAAAAGGTTAAGGAGGTGCAAAGCTTCTTTGGACTTTGCAATTTCTACAGGAAATTCATTTGTAATTTCAACTAAGCAAGAAAGCACAACCTAATTAACCTTCCTAATTATAGTCAGCAAATATTGGATATAAAAGCCACGGGCCACAGAAGTTTTCTAGTGATTCAAGCGCCGGTGTTAATCGAAATTTTCAACAGGAAAATGTTCTAGCGGATGATAATTACAATGAAAATCTTCTGATTTCCTTTGGAAACATTTTCTAGTGATTGAAGAGCCAGTTATGATCAAAATTTTAAATTTTCGGCTTTTGATTTCTTCTGGAGAAGTTTTCTAGTGATTCAAGCGCCGGTAATAATCAAAATTTCCAACAGAAAAATGTTCTAGCCGATGATAATCAACATTAGAATCTTACCTGGCTTTTGATGTCTTTTGGAAACATTTCCTAGGGATTCAAGAGCCGCAGTAATGATCAAAATTTTTAATTTTTAACTTTTGATTTCTTCTGGAGAAGTTTCCTAATGATTCAAGCGCTGGTAGTTATCAGAATTTTCAGCAGCAAAATATGCTAGCTAGACGATGATAATCAAAACGAGAATCTTTCCTGGATTTCGATTTTCTTTGGAAACAATTCTTAGTCATTCAAGAGCCAGTAATGATCAAAATTTTAAATTTTCGGCTTTTGATTTCTTCTGGAGATGTTTTCTAGTGATTCAAGCGCCGGTAATATTCAATTTTTTTAGCAGAAACGTGTTCTAGCCGGTGATAATCAAAATGAGAATCTTTACCAACTCTTGATTTCCTGAAAAGAGCAAAATGTTTCTCGCGTTTGTGCGGGATAATACCTAAACCAGAGTGAGCTGCCCCAAAAAATATACTTGAAATATACTTCTGGTTCTGCAATCTGTGATTCAAAAAGCATGTCATGAGGTCAAGAATATTGGTACCGCATAGGATTGGTACCACTTTCTGTGCCTATAGTCGCCAACATATCAAGTTTTGGGTGGACTTGCTCAAAGGACTACTGGAATAATTGTATACCAATATCATTTTTAATGCTCCTTTGCACATACATTATAATATTTACCAAAAATATCTATATTTGTTACTTGCTCCTTATTGAGCAGTAGTTACACTTAAAAAAAAGGATCTACATTATCATAGCTACAAGAATAAAACAAAATATGGAATGCAATTGATTAAAAAATGTATTACAACTTTAATACAAACGTTATAAAATAAAATAGTTTAGTTAAATAATAAAACATAATAATAATAATAATAAGCTACAAGCTACAAATAGACTACCGCAGTATTATTCTACCAAATGTATCCTTTTAACCAAAACCAAAATATCACAGCTAACAATTACTAAAAAAAAAAACAATATTCGATTTTATACATTGACATTAAAGAGAAATTTATATTGTTGAAAATATTTTACAATAAATACAAATAAATTCTGATAATTATTATTAAATATTAGTAGGAAAAGGATACGACTCACTGATGAAACGTTATAATAAAAATTTTAAAAGCTACGATCGAAGACCCATACCGTTGATCATGATGTTGGCCAGAGCATTCCTGCGCTTCCTCCACGCTCCCATGCCTTGAGAATGGTACTGAAGCTTTTTATACCATAAATGGGTCTGGTCTTCGTCTTCAGCCTAAAAACAAAAAACATATTAACAAGATTCTAATTGGCAAACAAAATTCCTTACCTTAAATATAAAAGTATCCTTGTTCAGAAGCTCTTGCACTTCGAAATAGCTTTGCCAAGCCGGGTCGGCGGCAATCACGCAACGATCAAGATAAAGCGGCTCTCTCAACAACGAATAACGTCCGTTCTTATCTCTGACCAGCAAAAGGGCCGCTTCTCGCACCCCCGAGTGCCTCGTCGAGAACATCAGACCGTTTTCGTCGATTTTATCTGACGACGATGGCTTATTATTGCTGACGGGCGTCTATGGAACAATATTATATTATGAAAACAGATTGCAAAGAATTTTTAAATGAAGAAAAAAAATTAGTATCTATAAACTAACCTTCCCATTTATCACCAACAGAGCATTTACAGGGGTCAATTTGATAGTCCTGCCCTTTCTCCAATTATTATCCGTAGGCTGCGTGAATAACAGCTTGCCCTCCAAAATAAACCTAGCTTCATCGTGGTTCCATTCCAGTACGTCTACAGCTATTTTTCTCAGTTTAATGTTCACCAAATCCATTTCTGTACTTGGTCTTCTTCCAGCATTACTCCCTAAAAAACATTATCCAGTAAAATCCTATATAGGTACTCATCCACAAACAGAATTATTACCTATTCTTCTCCAAAGTTTACTAGGAACATCCTTGGTCTCAGAATTCATATGGTTCAAGTGCAGTTCGATTTTGTGCTGAGCATCTCTGAGTTGCTGCCTAGTGCCGTGATGCGTCGGAGTTACTTTGTATAATCGCGCCAACAGTAACGGGTACTTGGTTACTCTTTGCACGGGTACCATCAGGAACGAATTCAAATTCATACGTCTCAGCATGGTGTTCTCCATTTGCGATACTCGTAAGAATATTCTCAGGAGCTCTTTTTCTTTTTCGAGACTTGCTAAGAGGAGACTGGCAGTACCTGATAATAAATAATTGTAGTATTTAGATAGAAGAATTTCCTTTAATTGTTTTGTAAAACCTGGCAAGACTGGTCACAATAGTTTCGACAGTCAGTCAGAATAAATACTGTAATAATAGATATATTAACTATTCACAATCCGATGTTCAAAGTTAAAGGTAAAATTTATCACCTTTCAGTGCTAATTAATAGGGAAAGGTGATAAGTTTACCTTTACCTTTGGACTACGGACTGTGAATAGGATATAGTTTTATTTGAATTAATGTATACAGTAGACTGTGGACATCACCTATATGAATATAGAAATGAGTTTCAGTTGTTATGTTGACATAGAAATAATAATAAATGGTTAGATATTGTTCACATCCTGCTAAATTCACATCATATTCAGAACTTGATGATAGAATATTGAGTATAACAATATTATTACATGGCGCAGTCGATAAAGAACCATTGGTTAGCATTCCTGAAAAGTAAAATGGACGGAAGGTTACCAGAGCCAATAAAAACTGACGGAAACCTGAATGAAAATTTTTAAAAGTTTTATCAATACTTTGAGACCTACCTAATTGCAACTGAAAAGGATTCAAAGCCAGATAAGGAAAAAATTGCATTGTTTTTGAACCTTATTGGTTCTGATGGAACTGAAATATAATAGTAGATTATACCACGAGTCAATAATGATAGCTATTATTCCCGAGGATTATTACGAACTGAGCCGCGTTAGCGGCGAGGGAGTAACATTCCGAGGGAATAATAGCCATTATTGCGAGTAGTATACTCTACTTTATTTACGACAAACTAATTTATTTGAGATTTTCAATGAACAAATTTCATCCGTCTCATAATTTTCAATACAAATCCACAAACACTACACGTTTGACACTGACACTTTTGTGGAATAATGACCATTAATCCCGCTACTCGTCATTAATCCCTGGAGGAATAACATATGTCATTATACTGCCAAAATCACAAATATAATACGCACATTATACATTAGTCGTAAATAAAACATATTAAGGCCGCGTTAATGGCCGCCATGTTTAGATTTAGTTTTTGAAAATGACGACTGCGTCACTCTAAACATAGGGTTCAATATTTTATTATCTGTCCAAAACAAAATCTGTTTGTCGGTGAAACACTTAGTGACAGAGAAAGACGAATATACAATTATGATGCTCCCAATGTAGCTTTTCTGCCGTGGCGCCATCTACTTGAAATTGCTTGAACTGTTTTCACCTTCAAAATTCATTTTAAGGTCATCTCAAAAAATCCGCAATAATTTCCAAAGTTCTTTGGCATAAACATTATTTAATATATTATCTACAATCTCTACAATTAGTTTTTTTTAGTTTTTCGTGGTTATCAATAAAATATGCTTTTAGCGGATCCAAGCTTGATACACATGCAAATATGTAACCACCAACACATTTAATTGTTTTGGTGGTTGCGAACATGATTTTTGAATTGAAAAAAAAGGCTGAATATCGAAAAACCAAAATAAGGAATTGTAGATAATCGATCAAATAATGTTTATACCAAATTTGAGCCCATTCTGATGTGCCGTTTTTTTAAAGACCTTAAAACAAATTTCGAAAAATCAACCGATCACAGTTTAAACATTGCGGCCATTAACGCGGCCTTAAAGATTCCAGATAAAGATAAGTTTGACAGTGTCATAACTGAATTCAAAAATTACTGTGCCAATAGCCGTAATCAAGGTACAGATGAGCTAGTACAGAAATGTCCTACCAAAAGATTATGGGCAGAATATAAATTTCTCAAACTTGTAAGAGGCAGAAAATCAAATCGCTTGCTTTAAGAAATGACAGTCGTGCATTACTAAAGATTGCAAAAATAATGAAGAATTAAAGATATGATGAAAAAAAAAATTGAACTTGAAGGTCAAAGTATTGAAATTAAAAAAACTGAGTTTACTAAAGAAGAACGAGTTTTGGTAATATAACACAATAAAGAAGGTAGATGAAGGTTAGGTAAATAGGCTTACCTTTGGAAAAAATTACACTGTATTAGTTTCAACTCGTCAAATTGCTTTAAGTCGGTTGAAATGTATGGAAAAAAAGATGGATTTAGATACAGAGTTTGCCATTGAATATTGCGAAAAAATTAAAGAATATTGTAACAGCCGCCAGGATGTCAAGAATCCTGTACAGAATTGCATAGCAGATTCGAGATTTTACGTGATGTTCGGGAACAACGTCGATTGCGGTTCTTATGGAATTTACAGGAATAAATTACGGCTATATATAAGGACAGGTTTTAGCTTGTAAGTTTAAGGCTCAGTTGTACAATCTTGGTTCAAAACAAAGTTCAACTGAACTCGACTGGTACTTGAGCTTTTCCATTTAAAATACATTGCTGTCAGCTATTAATCAAATTCTATCAATTTTGACAGCAATGCATCTCAAATGGGAAAGTTCAAGTACCAGTCGAGTTTAGCTGAACTCTGTTTTGAACTAAGATTGTACAACTGGGCCTAAGTTAAAGTTTGACTGTGATACGAGTTAAATAGTGATTTTTGTTGTAAAGAGTTTGAGTATTGAGTTAGTTATTAAAGTAATTAGTGTCAGAGTGTATTGTTACGTAGAATATATTATTGCTGTGTTAATTGGACTTTGATTTTTGGAATAAACGAACCGAACCCAAGATTTCTGTCAGGCAATACAAAGCCGTGACAATTGGTGTCAGAAGTGAGACATAAAGGACTGCAGAGTAAAATCCAATTGCGGAAGCGAACTGAACTGAACACTGGGGCAGTTATTCAGTGCAAACAGTGACAATCACAAAAAGAGACTTAACCGATCGTGTAAATTACTCCGGAAGTGACTCTATACCCGCTTTTGACTGTGATAGTGAATCCTCGAGTGAGTTCTAGAAAATTCTATTTGGAAACCAAGGGAGATATCGAAATTGTGACTTCACCGACGTGTTTGCTGTATCAATCGACATCCAGAAAAGATATTTGAAAGAACTTCGAGGGAAATTCTAAAACATTCTGTATATGCCTATCACAAGTCAACAAGCCAAAATGGACGAACAAAAAGTTGAAGAACTTCTGCGCAAAATGTTGGAACTTCAAGAGACCAAACGACAATAAGAAAAACAAGACGAAGAAGCTAGACGACAACAAGAAGAGGTTAGAAGACAACAAGGCTAGTGAGTTTGGCGTTTCCTGCAGCTGGGGAAGACATGCAGGAATGGATGGCAGTATCTGCGTTTATTGATGGTCTCAGAGATTCGAAGATCCAGGAAAACCTAAGAATGTCTAAGTTCAGACAAACTAGCGAAGCCCTTGTCCGAGCATTAGAACTGGAAGCAATCTTTGATGCCTCACGACCCAGAATACGAGCAGTGTCCATTGAGGATCCAAAGGAAAAACAATCATCAGAAGAGGATGGCAGTTTCGAGAACCTTATGAGTAGTTTCATGGAGGAAATAAAGAAAATATTACGAGAAGACAGAAAAACGACTCCAGACAAACACCAACACCAAGAAACCGATAAGAATGTTATCGGTGCCATAAGGTTGGACACATTCAACGAGATTGTAGAGTAAGAATGCCCTCTCCATCAAGGGATCGTTTCCAACGCTTTTCGAGATCAAGAGACTCCAGCCCTGATAACAGACAGGGAAAAAAGAACAAACCAGTATGGAGGGGCGAATGCTGGTTAGTAATGACGAAGCCCCCAGAGTTGTGTACATAAAATCATTGGGCAGTCATTATAGAGGATTAAAATTCAAAGGACAAATTAATGGAGAATTGAAAACCATCACTTTTGATACGGGTGCTGAAGTTTCCATAATAATAAATTCCGCTCACTAGAAACTAGAATCTGCACCAGTTCAAGGAGAAGCTATGGTTGAGCTCACTATTGGATCTACCACCTTCAGGCACAGAACATTAGTCACCGATATAGAAGATGATTTTATTTTGAAAATGGATTTGATCGGCCAACATGGTTTCTCTTTTGATCCTACCATGAATATCCTTAAATTTGGTAATGAAGAAATTGTCCTAACAACACAAGAAGAATCCGAAGCCGTAAAGATCTTGGCCACAACCCCAGTGAGGATTCCTGGAAGTACTGAGAAGATCATTTGCGGAAAATTAGAAACAAACTCTAGGTGCTGCGTTGGACTAACACGTAATTTTATTGGAGATAAACCAGAAAGATTTCTTGTTGGAAAGACTCTAGTAAGAACAAATGGAGACATTATGATAAGAATTGCCAATGTTTCTTCCGAAACAGTAAGAATTAAGGAAGGAGACATTATTGGAACTTTCGAACCAGTTAAGCAAATATCGAACTGTGACCTACCAGATAAGCGACATTTTGTGAAATCCAAATTAGATACAGACACCTTGATGCAGACCTTGGCGAAATTATGGAAACATCTCAATCCAGATAGACTTCAAGAAGCCACAGATTTCATCTTGAAAGAAGCAGACGTATTTGTGATGGACAATCAAACCGGACGGACCAGATTAATTCAACACAAAATTGATACTGGATTGGCACACCCAATTAGACAACCACCACGACGTATGCCAATTGCTAAGCAACAGGAAGTGGAAAACCAAATTGATAAAATGCTTGAAGAGGGAATCATTGAAGAGTCAAATAGTCTATGGTCTGCGCCAGTAGTTTTGGTTACAAAGAAAGATGGGAGTCTTAGATTTTGCGTGGACTACCGAAAGCTTAATGACGTCACCAAGAAGGACAGCTTCCCTCTCCCGAGAATAGACGATACATTAGCCACTCTATCGGGCTCCAAATGGTTTTCCACCTTGGGTCTCAAAAGTGGATACTGGCAAGTGGCAATACATGACGATGACAAAGAGAAAACTGCCTTCAGTACCGGAAGCGGGTTATACCAGTTTAATGTAATGCCTTTCGGATTGTGTAATTCTCAAGCTACGTTTGAGCGACTGATGCATTTTGTTTTGCGAGGCCTTACATGGAGAACCTGCCTGGTATATTTGGATGATATCATGATCATGGGAAATTCGTTCCAAGAACATCTCAATAACCTGAAAGAAGTTTTTGACCGCTTCCGGAATGCCAACTTGAAACTCAATCCAAATAAGTATTTCTTATTTCAAAAGAAAGTGGAATTCTTAGGTCACGTGGTATCTGAAGATGGCATACAAGTTATGGGAGGAAAAATAGATGCTGTCAGGGACTGGCCAAAACCACGGGACAAACATGAACTAAGGAGTTTTCTAGGATTATGTTCTTATTATCGAAGATTTGTGGAAGGATTCGCCAATATAGCTGCTCCGCTTCATCGATTAACAGAAAAAAAATCAACATTCAATTGGACCCAAGAATGCGATTCCGCATTTAGAAAATTGAAAGGAGCATTATGTACGAGCCTAGTGTTATCCTATCCTGATCAGAAAGGCATGTTGATTTTAGACGCAAGTAACACCAGTGTTGGAGCTGTCCTTCCACAAATCCAAAATTCACAAGAACGTGTCGTGGAGTACTGAAGCAGAACCTTATCAAAGCCGGAACGAAATTATTGTGTCACCAGAAGAGAATTGCTTGCCATAGTAAAAGCAGTCGACCATTTTCATAAGTATCTCTACGGACGCAAGTTTCTAGATCACGCAGCTCTAAAATGGCTTTTAGAATGAAAACTCCTGAAGGACAGCTTGCTAGATGGATTGAGAAATTGCAGCAATACGATTTCCAAATTAAACATCGACCTGGAAACCAGCATAAAAATGTTGACGCTCTGTCTAGACGGCCATGTAAAGAAGATTGCAAGCACTGTCAAAGAATCGATATACATGAGAAAAACACTAGTCCAGCTATAAGAAGAACGGGCCTGATCGTCGATAATAAATGGACTACCAAACAAATGAGAGAAGATCAGGAGGCAGACCAGGATATTGGGGAAATTCTACATCTTAAAGAAAATGATAAATGTAGGCCAGAATGGAGGGGAGTGTCGAACAAGAGCTTGATTCACAAGGCATTGTGGGCCCAGTGGAACTCTCTGGCCGTAGAAAATGGTTTGCTCAAAAGAGTTTGGGAAAGTGCCGATGGGAAATCCACTAAGAGCCAACTGGTTATCCCAAAAGACCGAGTGGAAGATGTATAAAAAGAAATACACGACGGAACTTCAGGGGCACATTTCGGAGTTAACAAGACTTTGGACAAAATCCCGGAACGTTTTTACTGAGTTCACTACCATGAAGACGTTAAAAGCTGGTGCCGAAAATGCGACAACTGTGCTACCAGTAAAGACCCTAAACTAAGATCTCGGGGGCCCATGTACAACAGTACAACGTCAGTCTTCCATTTGAAAGAATAGCGATAGATGTAGCCGGGCCGTTCCCAGAGTCAGAGCGTGGTAACAAATACATCTTAGTTATCATGGATTACTTCAGTAAATTGTCAGATACGACCTGAAAGCCAATTCAGCCGGATTTCAAGAAGGTGATTTGGTGTGGCTGTATAATCCAGCTAGAAAGAAAGGAGTATCGCCGAAATTGTCTTCAGCATGGGAAGGACCCTACAAAATAATCAAGAGGGTCAGTGATTTGGTTTATCGAGTCCAACGCAACACCAGGAATAAGATGAAAGTTGTACATCTGGATAGGTTAACGAAATATCATGGGCGTGAAACTGATCGGGACGATCAACCTTAAGAGGGGGTAGTGCAACGGCCGCCAGTGTGTCAAGAATCCTGTACAGAATTGCATAGCAGATTCGAGATTTTACGTGATGTTCTGGAGCAACGTCGTTCCCGGTTCTTCTGGAATTTACAGGAATAAATCACAGCTATATATAAGGACGGGTTTTAGCTTGTAAGTTTAAGTTAAAGTTTGACTGTGATACGACATAAATAGTAATTATTGTTATATATATTTCTTTTTGAAAATTTCTACATAAAGTTTAGTTTAATGTTCTTAATAAATCATCGAGGGGAAGCTGTGCTTCCCTAGCTTACATGGTAAACACGCCACTGTGATGATTACTTTGACTCAAAATCAAGTTTAAAAGAAGCTATAAACAACATTCAATCTATAATTGAAGTTTATGAACTCATCTGCAAGGATTTTAAGATTTATACACAACATAAAAAATAAAAAATAAAGAGACAAAAAGGTGAAGTTGAAGTTGAGGAAATTGAACAAGCAGAAAGATTATGTATAAAAACAATTCAGAGTCCAGTGTTTTGAAGATGATATTGAATTAACAAAATCTGGAAATCAATTGAAGAAAACTTCTAAATTATATAAATTCACTCCAATTTTAGATGATGCTGAAATTTTAAGAATCGACAGTAGAATCAAGTATGCGGATATAGAATTTGATTCCAAATTTCCCATAATATTACCATCTATAAAGATACAAGATATGTTGAGTTGCTTATACAGTACTACCATGAAACTGTTAAGCACATTGGCCAAGAAACAGTTCTCGACAATTTAAGACAAAAATTCTGGATAATACGTGGTAGACAACGATAACGTGTTAAAAATGTTATCCGTAAATGTCAATTTTGTAAGGTGTTTGCAGGCCATTTAGTTATTGATTTGACCTTTACAAGTAAAAGTAAAAAGATAAGCACAGAATGAAGATATGAAGCGTTATTCACATGTTTGAATTCAAGAGCTGTTTATATCGAAATAGCAGTTCCATTAAGCACAGATTCTACACTGTTGGCATTAAGAAGATTCATTGCAAGACGAGTAAAACCACTAGAGATTTACTCAGACAAAGGGACAAATTTTATTGGGACTAGAAGAGAAATGGAAAAAAATATTTGGATAAAATTGACGAAAACAACATAAAAAGAGAAATTACACTTTTAAATATAAGATGGCATTTTATTCCACCAGGCGCTCCTAGCATGGGAGGAGTTTGGGAAAGAATGATGGGGTCGGTAAAACAGGTTCTATACTGTATATTAAATGAAAAAAGACCATCTGACGAACTCTTTAAAATATATTTTTTTGGAAGCAGGAAGTATGTGACTTCTTGACCCATAAGCTATGTTTCATCTCATGAAGAAGACTTGAATGCTTTAGCTTCTATGCATTAGAACAGCTAGTACAGACAACATACCAAGTATTTTTAAAACCAGAAGATATGTTTGGAAGAAAACAATGGAAAATTGCACAAATTATGACAGACAATATCTGGAAAAAATGAACAAAGTAATATTTATCGACTTTAACAAAAAGATAAAAATGGCATGCTAAGTGTACACCTCCAAAAGTCGATGATATTGTAGCTTTACCATGCACAGAAGTAAGAAATAAATGGAAATTAGCTAGAGTGACAAAAATATTTCATGGGAAAGACGGGCGAATTAGAAATTAAAACATCTACTTCTTTACTTGTACCCCCTGTATAGATTACTTTGTAATGTGTATATGTATCAGATACAAGAACTCCCTGTATTTTACCATTAATTGTTTTGGAAAACCTGACAAGACTGGTCACAATAGTTTCGACAATCAGTCAGAATAGATACATGTTTATTAGAAGTTGTCACAAAAGTGTAATTTTTATTTGTTATTAGCAGCTTAGCTCTCATAAATTGAAGCTTCAACAATAATACACGCATTAAATTTAAAAAATGAGGTTTGAATTTTTACCTTGTCGAACACAATAAGTTTCAAAGGCATGAAGCATCGGCGCTGCTTCTAGGAACAGTTTACCAATATTTACAGTCAAGAGGTCATCGTCTCCTTGCTCCAAAGCTATCTCTACAGCATCTCTGAGGCGCTCAGCTAAAGCTTGGCTATTTTCCAGTAGTTCTTCTGCATTCAGGAAAATTGTCGATAGTTGATCAGGTGTGAGAAGCCCAGCCACAAGCATTGGTTGATAAAATTCTTCTAGAATAACTTGCAAGTCTCTGCCATATTTTTCTTCGGTTTCGACGATTTCCGTGATGATTTCTTTTCGCTCCGAACGTTTTTTGATACATTTTCTGCACAGTAAGGGTTCGTTTTCGTTTTTCGATTCCAAAGAAGTATCACAATCTTCACAAGAGACGAAAATTTCAGGTTTGGTTCGGTATTTGCTCAAGCTCGACTTGCTGGTTTCTGAACCCACACCTGAGTCATTTCGTTCCACTTCGGCTGGCTTTTGGAAAGTAGCTTTTTCATCTATCAGAGCTCCTGAAAATAATTATTTAGAAACCAGTTCCAACACAATCTGACACACTTACCTGATATAATCAACGAATTATCCTCACTAGAATCGCTAACAGTACTCATATGTGACACCCTATTATTATAAGGTTCTTTGGTTTCATCTTCATTGTTCGCTGATGGGTAATTGTAAGTGTAACCTTCCTCTTGGACAATTCCGCGCTCTTTAGCATCCACCAAATAACTGAGAATATCGTATTTGGAAGCTCCTTCAAAAATAGACCTTGTAGTATATTCCTTGTCCAATTGTATATCATCCATAATCAAGGACGGAGGAGGATTAGCTGGCAATGGAGGCGGCATTTCGATTTCTTCATAAATAGGATCGTTGTTGTTGACTTTAATACTTTCATAGTGATGATCTTCGCTTTCGGAAACTTCAATATTACCACTTTCAGCTAACAATTCGTAAAACTTTGTCCTATTAGCCAGCTCTTCTTCAGTCACCGAACTTCTATTGCTATGATCAGTGTAGCACTCAGATGCCTGATCCATCAGCTCGTATTGGCTCGATCCACCGTCCTCCGATTCAACATCGTCTCCGATAGTTTCATAGTTTCGAAGTCTAAGGAACGAGTCTTCAACGGAAGTTGGTATGTTTTTATCTTCGAGAGGAGACTCGAGCAGAGACTCGGCTTTGCCTAGAGGCAACGTGTGCTTTGGAAATTTGGTATCTCGTTGTCGCCTAGCCACATCTGATTTACCACAGACGTGGGGGACTAGATTGTGACGCACCGCTTCTACTGGATCTCGCAGAAGCTCTTTGAGTAATTCTGAGGCTGATGTTGAGTTTAGTTGTAATAATTGCTTCTCAGGTTGTTCTTCTGCAACTTCCTTTACTTCAATACATGGTTTTTGATCGCCAAATACTTTCTCAATAGAATCATCAACTGAATTAAATGATCCCATAATATAAATCTTGCTGCTGTTATTCTTGGTATTCACTTGAACTGAAGCATCATCGTTTACTACAACAGATGACTGATACATTGGAACGTTATCGTTGACATTCACTGTAGAATAGCAATCATCTCCGTTGATCATTATGGATGTTTTTCTTTGAGGATTTTCAAATATTGAAAAGTTTTGAGTGCCATTCATGCTAGTGTATTCAGGAAATTCATTTTTAATTTGAATTTTGTGGACTGCAGTTGGTGAGCTTATTTTGACAATGGTTCTGTTGGGGCTTTCTACAATTGCTGTAGGTGTTGTTACTATATTTACTGAGGGTTGTTTATTGTTGCTACGTTTTCTTGGCGGAGCTGACGGAGGTGCCTCTTGATCACCAGAAGACAAACTGCTATCGCTTGATACTGATATTTTATGCATGTAGGTTTCAACAGGCTTTTCTTCCACAGCGTCGTTATTATTTTTTAATTCCTCGATTTCTTTTGGAATTATTGTTGGTGGTGGCGGAGGTGGTGGGTCATTAGGACGGGGTTTCAAGGGGCTAATCTTGCGCGTCCTTGCAGTTATACCATCAAGTTTTTCCAGATCTTTTTCCGAAAAGGTAATTCTAGAGTCGCTTCTTTTCCGAATTCTTAAAGCCATCGTGTCGTAGAAGTTAACACTTTTGTGATCAACGTTGATTCGTTCGCTGTTGCTGCGATAAATTTTTATTGGTTTGGTAGGTTTAGAAACTGGTTTAATTTGTATCTCAACTTTAGGTTCAATTTCTTCCAAGGCGTCTTCAAAAACTTCTTCTTCCTCTTCCGTTTTAGGAGTAATCGCGTCATCTTTGAGGCATTTATCTTCTTCTTCGCTGCTGTCGCTTTTACCTGCATCTAAAAACTGAACCTTTTTCCTTGGTGTTAATGGTACTGGAATATAAAATTTGCTAGCGCTTTTTCTGGAGGACAATGGACTGACTGATTCTTCTACGTCAGAATATGGTGACGAGTCACTATTGTAATTGGAACCTCGCTTCTTCAATATGGATTTAAAACGGTTGGAGTTTATGGTGTTTTGGGCATAATCGAAGTCATTTTCTTGAGTAGTAGGACTTGGTACCTGGAATATTTCGGTTTATAGTGTTGTGATATTGAACATTTCATAATGCTTTTTTTGAAATCTGAATATTCGTATGTTATAAAGAAGAAAAATGAAATTTTTTTAAATTTAGAACCAATAAATAAACCTTACGATTTTGACAGTTAAATTCTTCTTTTGCGGAGAAACAACTTTAACTGGTAAAATCTTCACTGTTGGAGTCTTGGCTCTAGGAACTTGCACATCTTCATATTCTTTATTTTGATCCAAGCCAGGTCGTACCTTGATACGTTGCCCGTTGACAACAGTAACGTTTCTAGAAGATGTCTTTTTGGAATCAGTTGTTTTGTTGTTGGACATCAGCTCGTAAGGGTTAACGTTACATTCTAGGATCGAGCGACGTCCAAATGTAGAATTGTAAGATGGTGGCGTACCTAAGACAAAAGTCAAAAATTTAATATTTATTTATGCAAACTTGATTAATTTTATTTACTTTTGCTTTTTGTAGAATTAGAACTTTTTTTCGGCTGACTGTCCTTAATAGTAGGCGTACGCTCTTTATTAAAAGGTGACGTACTGGACGTAGTTTCCGGTACTGACAGTCTGGATCTTCGCATAATATCGTAGGGATCTCCAGTTGGTAAAATCGAAGGCCTCGACGAAGAAGTTACCCGAACGGTACCAGCCCGTAAAGGCGTACTGGTAGCAATGTGTTGAGTCGTTGGATAACATCGTACAGTTCCAAACTTGGAATCGACCGGCGACAACGGCAACCTGGTGCCGTTGCATTTTTTGCACTGGTGCGGTGATTTTTTGGACGCGGAACGCCGACTTCCGGTTAAATATTCGGGACACTGGCACAGTACTAGGGCGGGAGTTAGGAGGAGCCCTCCGGAAGCCCGGACGCTTCCGTAGAGCCACGGATCGGCGTAGCGCATTGAACGAGATAGGGCTCCGGTACTTCCTGATGATTTTGTATGGTCGGTGACGTCACCACCGTGCCGGCTGCTACCTTCACTCTATAGAAAAATATATTTTGCTTTAGAATCTTAGCTACTGAGATTGAACATTGACATTTCTAGGATGTTTATACGAATTCTGATTTTGATGTGTGTGCAGGATATGCCTTAAAACTTAGCAAAGACATCTTGGGGGAAGTTCAAAACTTACCCTTAAACCGTAGGAGGAGTATACGGCATCCGGAGGTGACGTAGGGAATCGATGCATTGCATGGCTAACCAAAGCTGCCATAAGGGTTCAAATACTCTGCCAACATTTCACTGCAAAAGAAAAAAAAAATTTAGTAATTCATATCATTAGGCATTATGAAGAAAAATGATTCATGTACAATTCAAGAGTAAATCGCCTAAATACTAAATTGGAGTTTTATCAGTCCCGGGATTAAGGTTTCCGCTCTGGGATAGTTACCAACGATTACCTTCAGTGTCTCAAAACCCTCATAGAAAAGAGTATTGAATACAACCGTCCTTTGATATTGGCGTTTGTAGACTTCCAACATCGCGGAACTTCCTGCAATCTTGAAATCATTACAGTATGTATCGCCGATATTGCGAAATAAATAGAAACATATACGGAAACGCAACGACCATCGTAAATCTTCACTCTACCACAAAATTTTGACTAAAGTCGAACTTTGAAGGTTTGTAGCTCAGGAACCCCTTGAGGTACTGGAACTAATCTAGCACGGTTTTGAAGAGAATTTAACGCTCTTTCTAATGATATATAATTGTAGCTAATTTGCTAAAAGGACATGGAAGATATGAGAAATTATTCATGAGCGTGTCAAGATTTTAAAAAATGTCCAGAGTCAAAAATGAGATTTTCTTTTCAATTTTTATTTCAAGTCGAAATTTCTAAATCTAACTGATGTAAGAGTTGCTTCGGACTAATTTGAACTCGCTCTATCGATTTCTGAAGTCAGAATTGACAAAAACTGAAAAAAAAAAAAAATTATTTTTAATTTTTTTGCACTTTTTCCTAAAGGTGGATTTTTATTTACAAATCTTCAAACCTCGATATCTCGGTAACCAGAAGAGGTACGGAGACAAAATTTTCAGCGTTTGTAGCGTTTGATAAGCGCTTTCAGATGGTATTCAGCTAAACTAATTTGCTCAAAGATCATCGAAGATATGGGCAATTATTCATGAGCGTGTCAAGATTTTAAAAAATGTCCAGAGTCAAAAATGAGATTTCCTTTTGGATTTATTTTTCTGGTCGAAATTTCCAAATCTAACTGATGTAAGAGTTATTTCTGACTAATTTGAACTCGCTCTATCAATTTCTGAAGTCAGAATTGAGAAAAACTCAAAAATAAAAAATTTCAATTTTTTGCACTTTTTCCCCCTTTGGATTTTTATTTGCAAATCTTCAAACCTTAATATATCGGAACCAGGAGATGTAATGGGACAACATTTTTCAGGGTTTGTAGTTCTTTATAAGCGCTTTCAGATGGTATTTAGCTGAAGTCGCTAGCGTTTATAGTTTTTGAGTAAATTGAGTTTGAAGTTTTGGATAAAATTTTGACTAAAGTTCAACTTTGAAGATTTGTAGCTCAGGAACCCCTTGAGGTACTGGAACCAATTTAAGACAGTTTTGAAGAGAATTTAATGCTATTTCCAATTATATATGATTGTAGCTAATTTGCTCAAATATCATCGGAGATATGGGCAATTATTATTCATGAGCGTGTCAAGGTTTTAAAAAATGTCTAGAGTCAAAAATGAAATTTCCTTTTGGATTTATTTTTCTGGTCGAAATTTCCATATCTAAATGATGTAAGAGCTATTTCTGACTAATTTGAACTCGCTCTATCGATTTCTGAAGTCAGAATCAAGAAAAACACAAAAACAAAAATGTTCAATTGTTGGCACTTTTTCCTAAGGTTACCTTCGTTGGATTTTTATTTGCAAATCTTCAAACCTCAATATCTCGGTAACCAGAAGAGGTACTGGGACAACATTCTCAGGGTTTGTAGCTCTTAATAAGGGGTTTCAGAGGGTATTTAGCCAAAGTAGCTAGCATTTGTAGTTTTTGAGAAAATTGAGTTTGAAGTTTTAAACAAAATTTTGACTAAATTCCAACTTTGAAGGTTTGTAGTTTAGGAACTCCTTGAGGTACTGAAACCAATTTAGCACAGTTTTGAAGATAATTTAATGCTTTTTCCAATGATATAGGTTTGTAGTTAAAGAAAAATTTAAATCAAAAGAGGACACTATAGGTCTGTTTCCACAGAAATCACGAACCATTCAGAGCGAATTTCATTGATTGAAAATAGTCAGGAAACTGGTTGTTGGCGATTTGGATCAATCAAAAAATCTGACTGGTTTGGGATTTCGGTGGAAACAGACCTAATGTCACCCAAGCTGCACAGTTCTCGAAGAATTGCCTTAGAAGCGAAAAGGAATAATCATCGATGGGGAAAGTCGTAATAATCTTTGCTTTGCAAATGATATTGTCCCATTATTAGACAGTCTGGGCGAAGCTAAAGAAATGCTTCAAAATTGCACGCAAGAAGTGGGCCTAAAAATAAACTTCTCCAAAACCAAATTGGCTTCCAGTGAGGAAATACAGATAGGCAATAATAACATAGAAATAGTGGACACGTACGTATTCCTGGGTCATGAGATGAGAATTCAGAGAGACAACCAAACATGAGCATTGACGAGAAGAATAACTTTAGAATAGGTAAAATTTGGGAAAATCAGGGATGTGTTTAGGGCTGACATTCCAATCTCCCTAAAATAGAAATCATGCAACTAGTGTGTCTTCCCAGTCCTGACCCGTGGTGCGGAGACATTGACTATCATCAAAGCATCAGCAGAAAAGTTGTAACACAGAAACATGGAATCCAAGCATGGAATGATCTATGCTTAGATTGACTTTAAAAGACCGAGTAAGGAATATTGTAGAACATATCGCAAAGCAAAAGTAAAAATGCGATCTTAGGACGAAGGAGATGGACGAAGAAACCAAAAGTGGAGATCAAGAGCCGAGGAAGATCTCCTACTCGCTGGACAGATGACCTAATAAGGATCTCATCAAATTGGATCGCAACTGCTCAGAGATGACAGAACGTTATCAAGGTAAATCCTGTCATTATTGATCCCAGTGCCAGATTCACACCTGTTTGGAATACAGCAGGGGCATTGGCAAGACCAAATGGCATTCTCAAATACTCAAAATGACCATCCATCATTTGCAAGTGCGTATAAAAGAACATCAAAGATCACTAGAAAAATACATGAAAGAAGAATCAGTGGTAGATGACAAGAAAGACTGAGCAGATACAACTGGAAAATTTTAAAGGAGGCCTATGTTGATAGCATAAAATTGTAACGTCTTTATACCTAAATATTATCTTTCATCAGAGTGATCTTGAATCCTAGGAGTTGTGTGATAATGATGCATTTTTCTATCGTTTGTAAACCAATTAGGCCACCAAAGTCACCAATTAATTTTAGTAGCACGATTTATTAAAACTGATGGCATTTTTCATTATTTTCCTCATCAGTGCCCATCAAAATTTATAGAGCCATTCTCGACAAACAACGGCCAATAAAAATAAAGTGAAATATGTTCTCGTCAATATGGATTTACGGCCTGCAGAATAAATGCTTTTGACATTTGACGAATTTGTTAAGCCTGTCGAACTTCGACAATTTGTTTCTGAAAAATCTGCTGATGATAATATTGAATAATATTGCAGTTGTTTGGGTGCAACATCTTTTTAAGTTTATGCTAATTTCTTTTAAAACGTCTCGGCGATTGAAACCGATGGGGAAGTGGGTCGATACGAAGAGAGAAGAGAAAGATCAACCGCTTCAGGCCAAGTTTCGAGTCTTCTGATGACTACTCGAATCCACCTGCTTTAATACCAGAGATGGATTTGGATTTTTCAAAATCAATTTAATAGAAAATGATTGTTTCCATTTAGAAAATAATGGCAAGAGTTTGCTCACTGACTTTTTGAGTATGTCAGTTGAGAAGACAATTTTTCATTGGCCAAGCAACGTGTGTTTCTACAGGCAACTTTTATACTTTTCTTATAATCGGCTTATGAAAGAAAATCACAATAAAACAAACTACATTCATAATCAAAGTATTGAAATATCGAATGAAAACATTTTCGTGGATATCAGTTAATACTGTCCTGATAGTTCATCGGATGAGCGAAAGTGAAACGTAGTATCAAAACATAACTTTATTTACAACAACAATTAAAGTTTAGCCTCTGGGAAAATTGTTGAAAGTGATTGGGTACTCGATTTACGTGTTGATCTTCGAGGGTCAATGGCAAATAGATTTTATCGCTGGAAAATTGTCAAACTGCTGTTCCGAAACGGTGGCTGCTAAGCGAACAAAAGCGCCAATAATAATTGAAAAACTACTTGCTTTCTCGATTAAGATAGGACATTGACATTGGTAATGTGAAAGCCTTTTTCTTAATTCATTGCCAATGCCAGTGCATTATTTAGTAATTTTGTTAAAAATTCACCAACTAAAATGTTATGACGTAAAAAAAAATTCATACACTTAATAATTAAATCTCCATCATCACCCATTTCACTTTCTTTATTATTCATTATACAAGTCGACCTACAAATTTGAAGATCAGATAACCGAGCGATCTCGCCGGTATCTCTTCACTTTCAGCCAAAACAATAAATGAGAACCACCATAACATTGTCTATAATGAAAATCTATTTGTAAAACGTATATACATGGATCATGAAGATGTTATAATAACGGAATTTAATGAATAGGTGCTTAAAAGAACAATGCGTTGTTGTGTGTTGTAGGAGGTAAAGTTGAATTTTATCGTTGAAGATGCGGGACATGAATTAGAAAGGATCGAAGAGAGAAATATGTTGGAAACAACATCCAACAACCTTTATTTGGTTAACCTCATAAACTCTCAAGCCTTGCTTCTCTATTTAAAATATCGGCAACAATGCCTGTCAACTGTCAGTAAGTAAAAAAGAAAACTCTTTGCAATTCATGGCTCCTCTGATGAGGACGTGCCACGTGCCTAAGATTTTACTCAAGTTTTAATTTAAGATTACCGATATTTGGCTATGCCTTTTTGGGGCATCCAAGAAGCTCTGACCTCTGGTCATCTTCTACCTTTTGTATAGTATAGATAGTGTAGTTTTATGTGTTCCTGTAAAAAAGGAAATATAGTGACGTTTAAAGTATTCCTATAGGTAACAGTTTTTTCTTTAATCAAATCCAAGCACCAGAAGAAATATACAGTCCACTT